GGGGAAGGGGTCGGCCGGACGGGAGGCACCCCAGGGAGGCACTCGGAGCCTGGAAGGTGGGCGGGCGCAGGGAGGTGGGCGGCTCCACGCAGGAGCGCCCCCTACTGGCCCGCCACAAACTCTACATCTGGGCTCCTGCGAGCAGGACCACACGGCTATCGTGTACACCAAAAGGGCACGCGTGTCACAAATGCTGTCGTGTGATGTCAGCAGAGTAGTATTATTTCTTAATAAGCACATTTTAACACGATGCTAAAGCTGAAACACCTCAGGGGCCCGGGGCAATTACTGGTGGGACCGCAGCTGGGCACGTGCTACAGCCTGGAGTGCGGAAAGCGGCGTTTGTTCTCCAGGGCCCTTTGGGCAGAAGGGAAGTCTCTGCTGTCATCAGCGCTTGCGTCCATAAGTGCATTTCTCTCCCGGCAGACAAGGTTCCTTGGGTGACTTTGATATCTTTTATTAGACCAACCCAAATGGTTGGAGAATAGTTAATTAAGCAAGCTTTCGGGTTCAAAAAGCCTTCGTCAGGCTAAGGAAGCTTCAGCAGTTGGTGTGTGCTCTTCCTGGATGCACGCTGGCGGTGACATGGCTCCGCCGGCAAATGTAACGCCTCCCTTACCCTTCTCTTCAGCTCTGTCTTTCCTTCTTCAAAGTACAATACCTGTGCGTTAGTCTCCGCACTGTCGGTGGCCCCGTTTGCGTCTTTGGTCACCGCACTCTGGCCCCACGTAGCACGGGGTGCCGGCGTCCATTGGCCACTTGGGAGATTTCCAACAAGCATCTTGGTGGTTTCTCCAAGCTCTTCCTGCACTTGGGAGATGTCCGCTTCACCCTTCTCCTTCAGGTTCACGCTCGAGACTCTCCTTTGCTGTGAAGCCTCCACAAGACTTGACGAGTGGGCCAGGACTCCGGCCCGTTACGCTGCTCCTTGTCGTCTCCTTGCGTTTCCATGCCCATCTGTTGTCTTTTATCCATCTACTGTATGTACCCGGTAAGCTCTTTGGGGTAGCGACATCCTTTGTTCTGTGCTTGTGCACCTCCTGGCATCGTGGATCCTGGTCCGTGACTAAGACTCCCCCGTACTGTTGCAATACACATAAATCTAGCCGTTATTATCTTGGAGAGAGCTGGCTCGGGAGGGCTGGGAGTCGCATCACTGGGGTAGGAAAGGGATGCGGAGCAGTGCCAAACCACTTGGACAGATTTCAGGTCTCTTCAGTTGAGAAATTGTTGAGAAGCTGTGCATAACCTTCCACCTCCGTGCACTTTTCCAACTTTAAAACTACCACTGAAATTAAACCAGGCCATTAAGCTCAGTAATTATTCAGGTGGAAAATGTTTTGGCTTGTCAAGGGGGAGGTGACACAAACACTGTAAAGAGTTTGATGGTGGTTACTGTTTGGTGATGTATTTATTCCTCCAGGGCCATAAATTCCTTTGTTAAGTGTTTGAACAATGAGTATGTCACAAGTGAGCATGCAAAACGCCAGTGAAGATAATTTGCATAATAAAGGCTGTCAAAGTGGAATGAGTGTGCGTCTGGTACGTTCAGGGATATTTTGGGGTGTTCTTAAATTCTTATTTCTGACTTTAGTGGGCGAAGGATTCAACTAACATTAAAAAAAATCAACGTTACATACAGTTAAGTTCCCAAATCCATATATAGACATGCAAATAAGTATCTTCAATGGGGCTTTTCAGCACTCCTGGAAGACGGGCCGTTGTTATAATACGAGTCGTGGAACCGTAGTGACTCGGGGGCACGACCTGTTTCTGAAAGAAAGCTTTTTATGGCCTCTACAGTAGTATGTAAAATGCTTGAATAACCCCTTTTCTGGCAGCACATACTTTCTAACATGCTCCTGATTTCTGCTAGGGACCAAATACTTTTATTGTGGCTACTGATTGGGTGGGTGCAGCCTGGTGGTGATCAGGATATGATTAGCATTGTGGCTTACTGGGGACTCGCCTCGTTAGCCTGCACATGTGGCCGTGGCGGGGAGATGTTTGTTGCTGGGCAGCTGCTTATTCTGTCTTGGGGTCGAACGTTTAGTGCTTGGGGATGCCAGAGCTGGAGGTAAGATAAATTAAAAGCCTTGCAAAAAGTTATTAAGACCTTTGTTTCGGTTTCTTCTGGAGCTCTTATGCTGCAAGTCGTTTAGTTCCTTCCCCACAGCTGCCATTGGTTTTCTTTTCTTTTCTTTTCTTTTCTTTTCTTTTCTTTTCTTCTTACAGGTTATCACATGGACTGAACAAAAAGGAAAAGCTCCAGTGAACAGAAGCTTTGATCCTTGATAGTATTGGACAATACGAATGCTCATCTCCCCAGGCCAGTCGCATCGATATGATGTCCAGGAAGAGGAAACGTGTGAAGTCCTCATGCCTCCCATCAGGGCCAAGCTGAAGCGGGTCCCTCCTTCCAGGCTGTGCCATTCCCTCTTTCTCTCCAGGTCTGTGCTGCTCTGACCCATGTCTGTGGGAGGGAAGGGTCTGGAGAGCGGTGGTCTGCGGACAAGTCATGGAAGCCAGCTGGCACTGTGCGGTCTTTCTGGCCGTCTCTCTACCGCGGGGTCCGTCCTCTGGGTGGATGTGGACTCTGCCACTTGCTGCCGAGGGCTCCAGGTTTCCTCCCCCAGACCTGCAACAACGGTCAGTCGTTCAAGCCTTACTCAGGTGGAAAGCACTGGGCCAGTGGACTGGGGAACCGTTTTTCTCATCCCTGCTTGCAGGGAGGGGGAAGGGGGAAATCCCCAAGGAGGACGAGGGGATGGAGAGATGACAAAGCGGCAGGGGGTGAAAGGGCTCGCAGGAGGAGCACAGGAGACGATGTGCAAGGCCACGCAGGAAGGTCTGGCTGGGCGAGAGGAAGGCCTGGTTTAACAGCAGGACCACACACGGCTGGGAGGTAAGGACATATTTGCGTCTACACCTGCTTCTCCCGTGCTGCTGCATGCGTTAGACTCACGAGCAAGGTCCGTGTGTGTGTGTGTGTCTGCTTCCACCCTCACGTGAAGAGCTGCTTACCCCCTTCCCAACAGGTCACCTGTGAAATTGCTGGCTAGTGCAGGGGTCGGCCACCTACGGTCCGCAGGCCAGATCCGGTCTGTGTGGCCGTGGCTTTGGCAGCTTTCAGCGGGGTGCAGCTGTCTGCGCCGAGCTGCGGGTGGGTGCTGGGTGCCTCGGCACCAGGGCACCCTCCCCAAGACATGCTGCGGTCAGGCGGGCGGGGGGCAAGCAGCGGAGGTGGCCACGTTTTAGGAGCTGGGTCCTTCTGACCCCCACTGGGCAGTGTTGCCTCCCCCTGGACTGTGCCTTCCTCCTTCTGGCGGGGGCCTTCGGAGCGGGCGTGGAGGTGCCTGGGAGTGACGTGTTCTCCGCAGGCGCTTGAGACCCTGCTGGGCTGAGTGCGAGCGGTTGAGTTTTGTTGGGTTTCTCAGCTTTGAATTTCAGAGCAGTTCTGCTTTAGTGGGAAAGCCACTGCCTACCTTTTCCCTGCGGTTGTGACAGAAGCATCTGTCTTATTTTCTCTTCCAAAAAAGTGTGCAACACATTTGCTCGTCGCTCGGGGCTTCCGGGGACGTCCGCCCTGTGCCCGCTGTTACCCAGTGGCAGCAGCACGACCCTCTTTAAA